ATATGTATAAACTAATATAATTGACAAAAGCACATAACAAAATTACTGAAATTTTAAAATGAAAATGAAAACCGAAAATATAAAAACAAAAGCTAATTCAAAATAATAAATAAATACTACATAAATAATACTGAAATAGCACTGGACCAAATGTCTTTGAGGTCATGGTGTCTGTTCAGGGTGGTACATAATTCAAAATGTTTGTATAACTACCGGTTGACTATCGGTAGTTGAAGGTCAACCAAACATTGTGCGCAATGCAAATGCAATGTTTGGCATTTTGGGGCTGTCTATTACCCTTATTTACTGAGCTGTTTTGTTAGCTCTGTATAGCCTAAAAAGTAGCTTAAGGTATAAGATGGACACTGGGAAAAGAAAGAGTGAATCGAGCAATACGCTATGTACCAGGCATGCCCTTAACATATGCAATTTGTTTTTCTGCACTTGTCGAAGGGATAACGCCAATCTCTGACCCCACTGCAAACTTAAGCAGGTCCCCCGATGCCCGGCCTTCATGAATCTTTTAGGCAGAGGGAGTCTGGAGTTCAAAGTTTCTGTGAACTCGAGAAATAATAAGCTGCCTGATTAGCGTTGCTAAAAATACCAGCATGGTCAAAAGGAGCCAGGTGGTAGGATGGGCCTCCGGCATATTTGCATGTTCAGAGGCCGATCAGATACACAGAGACACGCCATACAATGAAAGGGGCCCTCCGCTGGCGCTTTTAAACGTGACACCAGCCCCTCAACACACGTTTTTATATACAGTAAATGTATGTTACAGTAGTATCGCATTGTGCCTTTCTTCTGCCAGGTCATTTTTGCTTAATATAGGAAATATACACTTTTGCTTTCATTGTCCTTTCTATTAACAGTAATGTTGCTCCTCTTTTCATCAAAATAGACTTAAAGTCAACATGAAATGGTCGTTACATCCATTTTACTAATGTAACATACTGTACTTCTGTGCGGGACTTGGAATTTATTCATAAGGAAAGTTATTTCAGAGCAGTGTTATTTTAGTATCATTGAGATTTTCATTTTCATTTTTGTTAAAGTTTTAATTGTTGTGTTTTTGTCATTTTTATTTTTGTCTATACGTATAGAGTTTAAAAAAATATTTTTAAATATTTCATTCCAGTTTTAGTTTGTTATTTTAGTACATCAAAATAAGTAACTTTAAGTTTTAGTTAACTATAATAACCCTGTTTCAGTGTTGAGCAATTTATGTTTTGATGAAACAATATCTTTGAATTGTCCATAATAATGCCTGTAACATATAAATTAATAAAAAAATAAAATGTAGATTTCAAGTTGCTGACTTAAAACTGCACTCGTCAAGCCATTTCATGGAGTTAATTTTCCTGTGTTGATGATGTATTTCCATTTGAATAGATAATCTGTTTTTTAAATTTTTTTAAATAGCCACGTAACTGCCATGATTTACTACTTACTAGTCAGTTGTATGCGGCATAAGGGGGCAGGACATTCTCCTTCAAGAGAGCATCTGATTGGACATAAATCTGTGTAGTGCAAGATGTCATCACTGCTCCATTTTCCTGAAAGAGAAAAACATTTTAAATTTTATATCCAATAAACGTGAATTTAATCAACGTTTAGGAGTAGACCAGCACATAGATGACCTCAAAGCTACCGAAAACACCTCTCATTTTGATATCATGTTGGCTTTAAATTGGTCTTTTACAACATGGCAATGCTGTTTGTGGTCAGGGTAACAAGAAGAGGACAGATTCTTCATTTGTTCATATCGAAAAGACTTTAGTGGTAGAAAACCTGGAATTGCTAAGATGAAAGTCATTTGTTTTCCTGCTCCAGAGATCTGCCACTTGTGCAGACGGCATCAGCCGAGATATTGCGTTAAACTCTCTGTACCATACACGTTTTCTCCTCTCCTTATCCTTCTCTCTCTCCTCCTGTTTTATATTTAACTTTAACCTGTCAATTAAAGAGTGAGAGGGCAAAGAGGAAATAAGAGAGACAGGGAGAGAGAGACAGCAAGAAGCACAGAACTAATTTGGCAACTGTGTAATTTTAATTAGCTGTTTTGATAATTAAACTAATTAGTTCCCCTGTGTTTCCACTACGTGCTACTGACTGGAGTTTTTTTCTTTTTACAACACAGCTTCAGAGCTCCACTCCGTCAGTTAATTAGTCACTTTTGCATCAGAAAGCTTTATTGATAGCCTTAATTTGCAGTTGAAATGAGAAATCTGCTGTCAATAATTCGGATAATTGCCTGCTGTTTGATTGTGGAGAACAAAAGTGGCAGGCCTTTAAGTTTGAAGCTGTTGGAAATCCCTCGGGTAATTTCCTGGATGCTTAGCTCTCCGTCCAATCTACATATCAGCAAATAACACCGCCGTCCACAACATCTCAACCCTGCTAACAAGACAGGAATCCTGCCAAATGAGGAACGCTTTGACCCGCCCCACCTACGTTTCCCATCATGCTCTCCTCTTCTCGTCTGCCTCAGCCCTCCTCCCCACTCCTCACACCCAGTGTCCTACGTGCGCGGTAATTGAGGAAGGAGGGTGGGGGGAGAGAGACAGAAAGTTGCAGCTTTGGTTTGTAGCTAATTAGTGTCCTTGGAATTAAATGAGCAGCTCTTTGTGCACCTCCAGCTCCTGCGGCCCATGTTTGTGAATTGAATAATTGATTCCCCTCCTCTAATCAGAGAGCGACATAATGAGCCAGTTTAATTAAATGGGGATCTAACCTGGCGAACACTGGGAAAATATTTGCTCGTTTACAGCTAATCAGAAATAACAGAGCGAGATGGTTCGGGGGGTGGGGGCTGGAAACCAAAAAGAATTTGTCTGATTGTGCGCTTCGAAAGAGGGGAATCTTAAAACGGTGCACGTTGCTGAAGGAATATATGAGAAAATGCAATGCTAGGTTTGACGTTTCTCAACGTTGGGGCCTAAAGTGAGAAAAACTCGGCTCTTTGACTTCTCTTCTGGTATTTTCGGTGGGCCCTGGGCAATGGGATGATGGTAACAGATTGACCTTTCCTTATCAGAGGCGAAACACGCTGACACGCCCCTCATGGGCAGCACCCCAGGATGAGGTCGAGATAGTCGAGGTACCCCTGAGCATTTACCTCTCTGCCTCTTCTCACCTCCTTGATGTGCCACTAGAGGCACCACTTACCCTCAAAGGCTTGTGGATCCTACAGACCTTTAAGTACGCTAAGATAAAATAATGGTGGCTCAAAGGTGTCTATGGCCAGCCACCAACTGGGTGATGGAGATGGATCCAATTTGTAAAAAAAAAAAAAAAAAAATGCTTAAGAGTCTGGGTTTCAGCCTGGCACAGTCTGAAGGATTAAAAAGTGTGTTGCAGGATGTTACACTTTACAATAGGGTTCAATTAGTATATTTTTTAAGCATTTATCGATTTAGGTTAAATTATACATACAATATTGTTCATTCATGTTTGCTTATTTTTATTTTTAAATATTATTTTTAATTAACACTTGCTGTAAAAGTATTCTTTATTGTTAGTTCACGATACCTAATGCACTAATGTTAACAAATTGAAACTTATTGTAAATATGGTAAAATTGGCAATGGTAAAAAAAATGGCCACGGAAGTGTTTTGTAAGCCTGAGGAAGGAACAGTAGACTGACTAAAATGTTGCCAAGATTTCTGTGATGATGCAACTTGACTAGTGTGAGGGATTTATATTTTTCTAGTTTATACTGTTAAATGGTAGAAGAATCCAAAAGAGAATCCAAAGAAAAATCCAAAATAAACTCCAAAATAAAATTATTTTATAATAAAATAATTATTTAAAAAATGAAATATTTAGTAAATTGTTATTTTATTGCTACATTTTATTGCCTGCCATCTGCTGAATTTGTAGTTTCCAAATACAACGTGCCCTAAACTTCCCGACAACCTCACATGTTGTTCATTTGGAGTTTGGCTGGATTTGTGTTGATATTAGTTTACTAAAACACATCAGCACTATAAGAGGGCCGCCGTGGGACAGAAGTGGATCACTGAAAGAATACACACTCATCTTGCCCCAGCCTCCTCGCCCTCCTCAACCCCCCAATGAAAAATGAAATACTGCATTGAAATTCCACACCAGAGGAAGGATAGAGAGAAGCTAAAGCTTTGAAGCTCCAGCCTGTCAGTCTTTTTTGTGTTTTTGTGTGTATGAAAGAGAGAGAGCGAGAGGATGAGTGAGAGAGTTCCATGTTCTAGTGCTCTCTCTCCTTCTCTTTCTTTTTCTCCATTCCATTCCTCTGTCTCTCTCTGTCCCTCTCTACCTCTCCCACCACTCGATTCCACAGGCCCCTTTTCTTTTCCACCTCTGTCATTCCCAAGAGCATGCACAAATCAGAAACACAGATTTGAAAAAAGTTGGGTTTGTGGACTTTGGAAAGGAGAAAGGAAAACATCCCTTTGCTTTTGAACTTGCCAAGCAGCAAAACCACACCTTGGCCATATCTCGGTTTTGTCTGATGAAGAGAACAACAAAGGGTGGAAGAAGAATTAAGAAAGAAAAGGTAAACAAACAACATACAACACTGGTCAACGTGGACAACCTGCTTTCCTTTAAACGCTACATGAAACACCTGAAGTTTACAACATCACTCCCTAAGGGAAGAATTGAATTTTTTCTTGTTTTCACTTTATTTTATCCTTTTTAAACTTGTTCCCTAAATCCAGGATTGTCATTTATTCGATCCAGAATAAGCTAATGTTATTTATTTTAATTATTAGCTATCAATCATCATTTACTCACCCGCATGTCATTCCAAACCCCTATGTCTTTCTGCACAGTATTTCTATTATAAAACATAGAGTCATTTTGATTCATTGTACTTGTTGCTCTCTTTCACATCAGGGGGAACTCCTATTAAAATATGTAACCGAGCATAATTTTGGCATTTAAAAACATTAATACTGTGTGAGAAATATATTAAGGTTGATATTATCAAGAAAATATGTCTCTAGAATTAAATAGTAGGTTTTTAAATATTTTATAATTTTTGTATTTTACATTCAAAATAAAAAAGCCAAAGCCAAAGCCATAGCTAGTTGGTAAACTTTTATCTGGAAAATATTTACTTTATATTATGTATTTTATTAATACTTCAAGCCAACACAATGTTGACAGCCCTAGATAAAATATATTTTTGAAAAAGCTGACTTTTCTGTGGACCTCACATGACTGGTTCATGGTCCATACGTTCACTATATTCCCAGTCGACAGACAATAATTTAGTGTGAAAAGGATTAATTTGGTCATAGAATAAACTATAAATAGCCCAACAGTATGTGTACAGAAAGTAATTAAGCACTTATAATTGACAACCATATTCACATGCAACCTGAACCTGGCTGATGATGACCTTCAAATGCTTTGAGAAATATCATCTCTCATTCTAACGTTACCGCAGGGGATATATCTCGAAGTTCTGGTCCACGTGAGAGCCAAATCCACCATCTATCCTCCATCTTTATAGAGAAAGGCGCGTGTACGCGATGAGACACTGTGGCTGAATATCAGACAGACAGAGGAGGATAACGAGCCTCATCCTTGCCGTTCATTAGTGCCGAGAACTCCCTAGCCTCGAGGGATGGGATAATTCCCACGGTAACCATTGCACATTCTTAACAAGCAACTATGCTGAACTTGCTCTGAGTGAGTGCTGCAGCTAGTCCACCTGATTTGGCGGGTCCAGCCCACAAGTGTGTGCTTGGTAATATGAGAATGATTAGCAGGGTCTTATGGGACACTTTGATCCCCCACTGACACCCCTTGCTCATGTTTGCAAACAAACACAGAGCCTTCTTTACAGAAAACAAGGTATTTAGCAGCCATTGAGAGTTAGTTGTGTAACACTTTTAATATGGTGTCTGACTAGCATTAGCAGTTCCAATTCATCCCAAAGGGTTCAAGTCTGGGTTTTGCGTAGTTCAGGGCAAGTTCTTTCACTCAAGACTCCATTTCAATTTCTTTAGGACCTGAATGTTTGTCTAGGGAGTTGTATGCTTGATTTTATGCACCTTTTAGCAATTAGCAAGAGGTGTCCATGTAGTTTTGGTCATGTAGTGCAGCTAATTTCTTCGCTGTCACCTTATTGTGCGATTTTGTGCTTTTGAAAGAAAACACTATGATTATTTAGCCTCAGGAGTGTGTGTTTTCTGGGCGAAGGCCTTGAAGAGAAGCATTAACATTCGTTTGCCACTTTGAGGGGGCAGCCATTACTAATCGCTAAGAAATTTCCTTACTACCTGAGGGCCTGTCAGGTTGTAAATGAAAAGGAATTAAGAAGAAATCCATACGTTTCTACACCCAACCCCCTTCTCTTGAGTTCACTCTCCCAGCTTGCGCACACTAGATGGGAGTCTATCATTAGCAGACCAAATTAAACATTAGCTCTTCGGCTGCCGGTAGTTTGGGCTAATTGCTAATCAGCAGTAAAAGTTGCCTGGCACGGAATATTGCTTACCATAAGCTAAAGGTAATTTGCTGCTTGAGACAAGCTAGGCCAACTTGTCTGTTGTTGTCCAGAGTCCG